CGAGTGATACGATGCACTGACTCGAGGTCAACCCGAAACACGACGCTTCACGTCGAACCGTACATTCGGCACGGAGCGATCGGCACCCCCCACGTTCGCCAAACCGATGGATATCGACAAATTTGACGCGAAGCAGCAGTCGGCAAAATGCGAATTTTGTGGCGCAGCAGGGCATCAAATTTTGTCGTGCTACAAAATGAAGAAAGCACGTGCGGCACTCGGGGACAATAACAGTGGAGCACCCCCGAAGTAAAAAAACGGGAATCGCCAGTAGCCGCGGATCGACCTGGCGATCGCGTAAAGATCCGAAAAGCAGGAAAGGGCGACGACGTGGCGACTTCGGAGCGGGTGAAAAAAGGAAAAAATGATGGCGCGAATCTAAAACGTCACGACCGGCCGGCATCAGGGGAAATCGCCGAGGCGAATGGAGGCTCCGCGAAAAAAGACTCTGCACCGACCGGGAAACTCCAGCCGAACACCCACGAAAGTAAGAATTCGTTAAAAGTATCCTATAAAGATACTCTAACGAAGAATATTGCTTCTCGTGGTTTTCAAGCCTTTGAAAAATTCAGGGGAGGTTTAGAGGCCAAGAAAAAGCCTCTAGAAATTATTCAGGTACCTGAGTAGTTGGGGGGAATTCTAACCCTAAGACAATCACAAGCAAGTAAGATGTGTTCTTTAGGAACCTAACCCTAAACCGTGATCCCTCTGTATTAAACTTCAGGTAGTTCTAACCCTAAGTCAAAAAGCCAAAGTTGATCGCCACTGGTTTTGTAATCCCTATGCTGACAGAAGTTGGTTGACTAGCTCTAGAAACTGACATGCTGACCTTTGTCTGATTCTTGGATCTGAGATCGTTTTTGCGCTGCTTGGGAATTCTAGATTCAGTGCAGTGAAGGTCGATTGGTATCCGAGATTTGATTGGGGTTCTTTGTTGGGTGCATGACTCGGGTTAGCTGGAAGAGGTTGAAAGTCCAACCTTGGTCCAATGGTTATAGTATTGGACCCCTTATAAACTTGACTCACCTTTCTACAAGTTCAATAGAACCCCCAATGTTTCTCCAACTCAACTTGTTCGTGGATGTGGGCAAGGTCCTCCTAGCCAAACCGCCCTTTCTCATCGAACTATATACTCGCCCGCTCTGATACGAAGCAAGCATCAATATTCTTGCGGTCCAGACCCATGCCTTCCTTCCCTCCCTTGATACCTCTTCCTTTTTGGGCTGTTGCATCAGCTCTTTCTATGACCACATTGCGTCTAGAATCCATGGTTTGAGTGCCTGATGGGTTCCGATTTTGGGCAATGGCAATGAACTCTTGCTGAATTTTGTCTTGTGTAAGGCCTCTGTGTCTCATTCCTCCTCGTTTGGCTCATCCTTGTCATTGTCGTAAGCTGAACCAATCAACTCACTGGCTATCCCCATTGCAAGAAGCATCCTCACGATTATAACACAGTGAAACCCAACTACACAAAGCAAGGGTATTAGGCAGTAAATGAATGATATTAAAGTTTATCTCTAGCAGTCTGTACTCCAGTTTCTGTTCCTCTTCTATCTGCGATTTTTCCTCTAGATGCTATTCCGCACCCATGCTCTCCATTGACCCCTCTTCCTTGTTATCCTCTTCTTCTATCTTGATTTTCCTACCCTCCCCCCGGCAGTTCTCTCTTCCGCAACTACCTCACAGGCCCCTTGGTGAATCTCCCACCCGTCCGAGTGGACCTGTCCAACAACTACCTGTCGGGTGTTGTGTCTGCACCAGACTGCCAGCGACACACCATCAGTGCCAACTGCTTCGCACCAAGTGATTCCTGCAGTCCTGACTTGCAGCGTCCCGCGGCACAGTGCACGGCGTTCTGTGGCATCTCTCCAACCACTGCTGCCTGTGGTGGTCGTGGCCTGTGCTACCCAGATGGACCCAGCTTGGTGCCAACGTGCTTGTGTGATGCGGGACTCGTGCAGCTTGGACGAATCAACTGTATTCCAGGAGGTGATAAATGATGGTAACCTGCTTTTAAGGGAATAAATCACTGGTTGCAATGTAAGGACCTCATTGTTGTTGGGTACTTATTTTCCTTCAAGTTTGATGCAGGTTTAGTTCTCCAGTTTATTTATGGCCTATATGTATTTGTTTACATTATTAGAGTGTAGACACTAGGGGTTGGGCTAAAGGTGATCCTTCCCTTAGCACTATAGCCATTTCCTCTATTTCCTTTTGGCACGCATTGGTGATCCACGCTTTGCTACACTTTCCTGGTTCACATTGGTTGTTGTGCTTGTGGAATTAGGGGTGCCACACACACAAAACCACCTTACACAGTCACACTACCCATGTGTAGACATGATCAAAATAATGTAATTTGCATTCCATGCTCCGCCACTCCCGCCCTTCCACTCTCCAGTCCCCTCAAGGAGCATTCTCCCGCCATTCTCGGTTCTCACCAAGGGCACAAAGAAGGAGACGGTGGGGAAGTTCGTGGCAAAGCCAGTGCCTCTGTTTATGTACCAGCCTGGTGTGACTTCAGGATGCGGCTTGGAGTTGGCCTTCAGAGTCAACTTCACCTTTGCTCTCATGCCCCAGTCTGGTACCGCCGGGTCCAACGGCTTCGCATTTGTGATTGCAGCAAAGCCCAAGGCGGGGAAGCCTGGCGGTGTGGGGTACAGTGGATTGGGACCTCAGAGTGTGGCCGTTGTGTTTGACACTCTTCCGACTGATACAGGCAAGCAGCACGTGGGGCTGAGCATCAACGGCACGGAGGAGTGTTTGGTCAAGGAGGTGTCGCCGTTCACACTGACAAACGGCGACTCATACAAAGTATGGGTGGACTATGAGCCTGGGGATCCCGACACCATTCAAGTGTTCCTGTCGGATTCAAATACAAAGCCAGAGGAGCCGCTGCTGCAGTGGAGGGTGTCGCTGTGTGCGGTGCTGCAGCCTGGAGTGAGGCAGCCAGCATTCTCATTTGGATTCGTGGCGTCCACCACTGTGAAGCCCTTCCAGCTGCAAGGCATTACCTCCTCTGCTGTTCAAACAGGCAAGGTTATTTTGGGGCAGGTGGGATGATGCTGACTGCCTTGATGATGGGGGAGGTGGTGGAGGTGGAGGTGGAGGTGGAGGTGGTGGTGGTCGTTGTCGTAGTCGTGGCCATGGTGGTCGCCGTCGTGGTGGTGGTGGTGGTCTGCTGGGTACTGAAGATGATGGCACTTGTCATAGCTAGGCCAATATGGAGATCATGACCAGTGGTAGCTGCCAAGCACCATCTTACCACTGCTATCCTTTCGCATCATCTCCTTATCCAGGACCCAACCAGAACACCTTGGCTTTTGTGCTTCTCTTTCTTCTTGTGTCTCATTCCACAGGCGGCTTTTCACCCACACCTGTCCAATCCAAAGAGCAAGGTGAGCTCCCTGACTTGGTGGAAGGTGGAAACTTGCTGATTAGTTGCAAATCTTTTTTATAATTATTTGCATGTACAAAACATCGTCCATACTTTCCCACCACGCCATTGTGGTCTGTTGTTAGTGAGTTACGTGGAGACAATTACCACTACATTATTCTAGCTGGCGACCCCTCTGGGTCACTTAGGGAGGTCAACTGTGCGTTTTAGGATGAAAATTCAAGTGGGGGCTCAGTGGTGTTCGCCTCCCCAGATGCAGCACAGGTCGTTCAGTTAGGAGCTCCTGCCCAACTCGTAGCCTAATCCTTGCAGCTTTGTCACATACTTAATGGGTAAGTTTTCTCGTGAAACATGCTTATACAAGGTGCAGTCACGGCATGTGCATTATTGCATAAGTAATAAGGAGCCTTGTTTGGTGGATAAGGAAATGGCAAGGTGCTTGACGGGAAAATCGTGGATAAGCCAATTGGCACCAAGCCAAAGCATCTCCGCAACCCCAAACTTATTGTCGCACATGGGATAATGCGCGGATCCAGCAACGTCCACGCTAAGAGGCCAAACGCTAACTAATTGACCTCGCTATGTTTAGCTCCTCATATAGTGGATTAATTTGCCTTCTAAAGCTTCGTAAGCCTGGTGACCTGACACACAAGGAAGCCAATTGTCGTGGGGGAGAACAAATATACAATCTGTGCAATTGGTGCTGACAAGTGGAGCAATGCATTGCTTCTAACTGCAACGTTGCTTACCTATTCACCAGCGCCGTGCCGCTTATCACTACCTCGTCAACTCCTGGGGACTGTGTGCTGTGCTTTACTGCCAATGGGGGGTTGTTAGAGATTGAATTGAATTTAAACCTTTGTGCTATTATTTCATATCCTGGTTTAGTGTCGGTTTGGTTTGAGGGGTGGATTGCACCAGTTTTGAAACTTTCCCAAATGTGATCAGCTGAAGATACATACCTACCAACTGGATATTCATCCGATCTCTTTGGGAAATCTTTCCAGCTCATTGCTGATATGCCTCAGAATCCTTGACCACACCATCAACTACTGCCCCATTCCACATTTCTCCCATGTCCAACCCTTCCCGTCCCTCACAGCCCTCGGCCTCTCACTGTCAGAGGCCACATTTGCACCGACTCGAGCCAGTCCCTTTTCGCGCTATGTGAGTGCGGACTTCAAGCTGTCAGCCACCAGAGCGGACTCGTGGAGCATTCGTGACTTCCACACGTGGGACTCCGTGCCCTTCCTCGACTGGCCTGTCAAGAACCAGAATGACTGCAGTGAGTGGAAGTAGAATCGTGAGTCCACTTCAGTAACTGAGCTGCTTTTCCAATCCATCATGCTGTTGCTGATTATTAATCAACTGCATCAACAAACTCAGTAACTACAGATCTTGCCATTACCGATTCACTGCCGTTAAATGGGGAGTATTTCACTCATCATTGTAGTTTGTACCGTATTCACGCAGCAGATGCCGATAGACCTGCATCTTCTACGTAGAAGGCTCACAGACTTAAGTACGGCACATCAAGAGGGGTTAAACGGAGAAGCGGGAATTGGAACATAACTCCATGAGAATCTATTTTGCTGGATTGATTATGTTATCGAGTCTATACCATACCCTCTTTACCATCGCCTTCTTCTCAGATGCGTGCTGGGCGTATGCGGTGGTGGCGAATGTAGAGGCGGCATACGGCATTGCAAAGCAGCAGAGCGCTCCCCGGCTGGCAGTGGAGGCGCTCTTTGCACTCATGGGGCTCTCCGACTCCGACAAGTGCTCCACTGGCGGCTCCCCCACCCACGCCTTTGAGACGCTCGTGGCTCTCGATGCCTCCAGTGGACTTATAGGGGATAGCGACCCGGTAAGGCAAACAGCACGAGGATGTGAGGTATGGTATGTTTCATGTGAAGTGGGATAAAATCATCAAATATATATTGATGTCAGCTTGGGGAGGGTGAATTATTTAGTTTGCTTGCCCGTTTTAGAATCCAGAATTGTAGCGAAAGCAACTCAACGAACCAGCTAGGCAAGTCTTATCGGTGTCTTATAGATATTAGTTGCTGGTTTATTGAGGTATCGTCTGACGTGGTGGAAGGTATCGATGTGTTGCTCATAGCTTGCCTTGCTTTTTTTTGCTTGTCCGTTCTCAGGAGGGACGGTTGTAACCTTCCCTAGATTCAGAACCTCTTCAAACCTACCCTGTCAACACCCCAATCTCACCCCCAACCCCAACCCCAACCCCACCTCTTCCTGTCGAACAATGCTGCAATCTCGTGGTCCCAGGCAACAAAGTACCCGGTGCAGGCGTTTGAGCGAGCGAAGTTCAAGGGTTATGTGGGGCTCATGCTGGCAGTGCAGCGGCAGCCAGTGGTGGTTCACATCGAGGCGTCTCCAACCTTCATGCAGTATGATGGGGTGAGCCGCTTCACCTTTCGCTCGCTTTGGTGCCTACCGTGTTGTATGGTCCTTGTGTCACCTGGATGGCAGTTGCATTTGGTGGTAGACGAGTCCCATCACTTCAGAATTCTGAATCCGCCTCACACCTGTCTGACCTGTTCTGCCCCCATATCCCCTCAGACCTATAAATATCAGGATCCTGGTTGCTACACGGGCAGTCTCAACCATGTTGTACTCGTTATTGGCTACTTCATCACAAGAAATGATGGCAGCCAGAACCGCATTGCTCCTCCGTTTTGGATCATCCGAAACTCGTGGGGAGAGGATTGGGGCAACAGGGGCCACATGCGCATGGACATCCAGGGAGGGGATGGCGTCTGTGGCATCAACGTGCTGCATGGCATCTACCCCATTGTCAAGAGTAAGGAATCTACCCCATTGTCAAAAGTGAGCCATATCTGCGCAAGGTGAGCCATATCTACCAGGCAAGGTGCATATACCCTCTGAATTTGGTCCGTGCTGCCTACCCTCTGCTGCAAGCCATTGTCGTTTGCTCGCCTCTCTTTCCAAAACCGCCTTTGTTTCTCTCGGGCCACTGGTATGACTTATAACATTTGGAAGGGCTACAAGTAAGCCTGGAAACGAATAGCTTCACCAAAGTACTCTCGGTCTTGGTATTCAATGAAATACACATTATCAATACGAACTCAAGTTGGTAATGTTACTCTCATGAATTCATTCCATCAAATACTCAGTCGTCAAATATTTGAGTGTTTTGAGAGACACATTTGTAGTGTCTTGGCATGGGCAGGGTAACAAACAGAAATGGTTCCGTTTTATACCATTGAAAACCGAAGTTGTTTGCGAAGAAATCAAATCTGTGCTGACTAGCCCTTCATAAACTCACTCTGGGAGCACCCAAATACTAGCATATCCAAACCCCTAAGTTCTAAAATACGATCGTAAACAGATACATACGACTCTTGAATAAAGTACAATAACTTTAACCCTAGCAAACTCAAAACAATTGGGTATGCAGCAACAGAGGCAAATGGAATAGTATTAATTCGATTGCCAACAGACGAAGAGTACATGCTGGAAGAGCATCAAAAGAAGCACCTACTGAGCAGATGCAGTACAAACACGAGGATTAAGGTTGGAAAGGTGAGATTCTGAAATGAGGCAGGAAAGAATGTAGAGAAGGAATGGGGTTAGTAGGACTGGCTTAGATATGCAAAAAAGCAACATATTGGCACACGAACAGTATGCATGCAAGCTGAAAGCCGAAAAATCTTTCACTAGAGGTAAAACATAATGTCAAGCTTGGTAAGCACAAACGCACCTGCTACGGTGGTGCTTAGCGAAATGGCATCTGCTCTGTTGTCTCTTTCCTCCAGGCTTGTTTGTCTGCTGTAAGTGTCTGCTGTAACCTCCATTCTCATGTGTTTCAAGTGTATCTTCTTTAATACCTTTCAGTTCCAGGGGACCCCTGTGGAGAAAGCAGCTACAAGGGCGATGGGGATTCGCAGCCCAGCATGAACCCGTGTGGCCGGTTCCAGTGCCAGGGGACTACAGCAAGCAGCAACAACTGCACCTGCAATATTCCCACCGCTACCGTGCAGCCTTTTGTGGAAGTTACGAATGGAATTGGCTCCACATGTGCTTATGGTAAGCTCAGTGGCAAGTCAAAGGGTGAGTGGAAGGGCATGTAATTTGGTCTTCCACTGAAGTATGTCGCGCTGTTGTAGCATGCAGACGTTTCCAAATGTATGCAGATTCTCCCACAGAGAGTGTGGGCGAGCGAGCAAGACTCCTCTAGGACCCTTGTGCTCTACATACTCCCGCCTGTGTCCGATGTGTGTGTTAGAGGTTCCCCGGAGGTGGCTGGGAGTGGGCAAACCTTATACCCTTTTTTCTCTCCCAATAATCACCCGCACTTTCATCTTAGACCATGTCTGTCTCAACTCTCTCAACTATCTGCCTGCCCGGTACACGTGTGGCAGTGGACGTGTGTGGGTCATATTTCAAGAACCCCTGCTATGTGGGAGCATGCATCAACGATGGCAAGGGGTCCTACTCTTGCATCTGCCCTCCCAACCACGTTCTCAGCACAACAGTTGACGGTTTCCCCACCTGCGATCCAAGTAAGTCGCTTGAATATGTCCATTGCTCTAGTTCACTGGTGAATATGCCTAGTAACCTCCGCTTGCCTTGTGCCGCTGGCATCTTCCATTCCTCCAAGCTTGTTCCTCTTTCTTCAATTTTTCAATGGATCTCTCTCTCTCTCTCCTTGCCTCTATCTCACTCCCCGTTCTGCCTGCAGCTAACACCACGGCCACCACAATGACAGACAGTGGAGACAACTGGTGGTGCTCGGATGTTCATCCGCTTGTTGGCCTTGCACTCGCTGACTTCACTGACCAAAATAGAGTGAGTGAAGAGGGGGTTGGAGTTATGAGCTGCCATAAAGTTTTGTGTTGCACTCCTTTCACCCTCCCATCAACAAACAGATGCTCTCCACTCTTTCATTCACAGGACGAATCTTAGAATGCTCTATTGAATACCATGGTGTGAGAACCTTACTTTACAGGACCTAGTAAGGAGAGGAGCTCTTCCCTGTGTGGGAGGTTGTACGAAATTCTCATTCATGCGTGTGTCTCCCAATGCAGGGCATTGACTGCAGCCAGCCATTGCCCAAGGGCAGTGTCCTTCAGCTGGCTGGTACTCCCGCCACACCCTGCACTGCCTTCTTCTACTCCCTCAATGTGAGACCTGCTGCTTTCTTGCCCACACCACAACATGCACTCGACCAAATCACGTATACAAACTCAGCACATCCCAAGCACCGAGAAAATATCATTACCCACACCGCAAGCACCAATCACCACTTTCCCTGCCTCTGTTCAATCAGCAGGGGGACACCTGTTTATCCATCAGCACATCGCTCAACTTCAACTACGGAAGTCTCACCACACTCAACCCCGGCCTTGACTGCTCCAACCCCATCAAGGCGGGCCGCTCAGTGTGCCTCGAGCGCAGTGCTGCCTTCGCCTTCACCGTGCCTGAGTGTGTGAGATACGGCACGCTCACACCTCAAGTCACGTGCGAGCAGCTGCTTCAGAGGACCAGCAATTCACAAGGGGGTGCCAGTGCCAGTGAGAATCAATGGGCTGCGCTGTACCGCAACAATCCCGGCCTCACTTGCTCTGCCACCATCCCTTCCTCTGCCTCCGCTATCGGCAGCAACATCGGTGTGCAGGTGAGGATTGTGAGGGCTGGGGCACGTACCTTATCGCCTTTGCTTCAAGTTTGCATTCCTTGTTCGTCTTCATCAGTTTCTCCGACGCCCTTATGAATTCATGGACCTCTATCCTATATGATGCATCCTGTGATTCCAGGTTTGCCTCAGGGCAGAGTATTGGTCGTTCATGATGGGTGCATGCAAGAAGGGTAGGGTCAAGCCTGTCCAAATGTCAATGGCATGCTCGGCTGCTTACCGCTTCTACGGTGGGGCTAGCTCAACGGCAATCGCACAGTTTTATGAGTACAACGGTAGGACATGCTCTGGAACTGTAGCAGAGAAGTCTATTTGTGTGCCATAGTAATTTTGAAGTCACGTCCAACTACCATGTTTCACTCTGAAAATCAGACTGGAGGACGTTTCCGCATACCGTGAAACACGGTGGTATTGTAATATGATATTTGTTAAACATGTGGAGTTTTTTTTTTATTACGTATTTCGAAAACCGCAATATATAACGCAGACAGGCCCTCAGATTCACTTTTAGGGACGTTGATGCATCAGGGTCCCTATGAAAAAAAGGCTGATTTTCAGTGTCCCTGTAAAAAAAAAGCCTGATTTTTCAGGGTTCATAATGAAAAAACACTGATCTTTTACCCACACGGGTACCTTCAATGTGATTATAGTACAAGCAAATTTTGCAGCCCACGGGAACTGAACCGCGGACAAGACATTTCGAAAGCGACTACACTAACAACTAAGACACTCGACGTTGATCGCTAGTGGTTTGTAGTTTTACCACTTGTTTAAAGTCATCTCGAGCGTTTTTCAGGAAGGATTACGAATCTGCATTCAGTGTACACTTCGATAAAATGCTGGAAATTCAGTGTTAACTATGAAATGAAGGCTGAAAAATCAGTCTCACAAAAATCTGCACACTGGAAAATCAGTGTAGGTACCAAAAAATAGGCTGAAAATCAGGAATTTCAGGGAAAAAATTCTGATATCGTAGGGCCTGAACGCAGATTTTGGCATCGTCGAAGCACGACAAACGTCATTCTCCAACTATTAATCGTGTGTTGGTGCTCATTTCCCTCCACCCACATCTCTCATTTTTTCCAACGGCTCATGCAACTCCTAGTTTCTCAAGCTTACCTTTAGTTTTTCCCGTTCAAGCTGGCGAGAACTCGCACGTTACCTAGAGGCGAATTGGCTGACGTTCTTAACCACAATTATTTGACGATGGCTACTACGCTGACAATTACTCGTGTAATGAACAACATTGTCACCGACCTGATTAAATCCCAGGAGACGTCGGGCGAACGTCGCAAGAAGTACACTGTTGGAATTATGGTTAACCCGGGTTGCTCCAAAAAACATTTATGTAGAGCTACTTCTACACTATAGTAGTGTAAAACACGTTGGTTGGGTTAGGAGAACTTGTGGTGTACACTCTTTGGAGTGGACCACCTTCCAAACCCAATAGGCTAGGGTTCTCTGTTGTTGGAACTTACTTCTTTGAAACCCTTTTGGTTCTAGCATGGTTCATACCCAAGTTGGCTCCTAAGGTTCCTAGGCTTTAGCAGGAGGTTTTAAGACTACTATATCTTCCGCTAGTAGATTAAACCATTCTAACATGGTATCAGAGCCAGGAAGGCCTAGCAATATCTTGGAATAGGAGCTACTCAATGCATTGGATCATAATACATCGGTGGAAGCTATGTAGCTTCTATCCTTCCCAAAGGGCTGCCGAAATTGCACCGTCGCGGACATTTCTACGTGAGAAGGGAGGAGGAGAGCAGAAACTTGCTGGAAATCGTGTGGATCCGTTCGGGAGGACCAGAGGAGCGACATTCATTTACAGAAAGGCTCCTTCATCGTTGGGCGATCAAGGCGTGTAGCATATCGTTAGAAAGATTTCGACATGATCTACAACAGTTGCCTTTGGTTCGTCACCAATCAAAGAGCGGATCGGACGCAATTTGCGAAATACAGTCGGCGGACGAATTGGAAAATCGCGAATCGGGGATTTTAAGCGCGAAAAAGGGATTGGACGGCAGGCGTCAAGGGAGGAGGCCAGTGCGCATTCAACAAGCCAAAAATCGGGAGAAACAGTCGAGTCTTCGTCGACGGAAAATCGGCCAACTTCGACGAGTTTAAGCAGAGAGCTTGGGCGCGGGATCCAGGAGCGCAATACATCTTTGGAACGGTCTCGGAACGAGGATTCAGTTGAATTAAACGGCTTGTCATTTGGAGGTTCGACCCCAGAGTTACGCTCCAAAAGGGGGTGAATCTGCCCAAGTTGTCTTGAACGCCGCCGCCGTTGCCTCCACCACCTCAACTTCAATCGTCAGTGCCTCTGCCGCAAATGGACCATGACTTGGGCAAAGGGAAGCTGGAGAGTGCGCCAAAGCTCGACGGGAGCGACTATCGGACTTGGAGCTTCCGGTTTAGGCGCACAACCCGTGGGGATACTTTGATGGATCGGAGGAGCGGCCTGCATCGTGTGACGCACGGCTAAATTGGGAGAGGAAAAATCAGAAGTCATTCGCCCAATTCTGCAATACCTTGGTGCCAAATGGGCTAAATCTCTTGGTACGGGAGTTCGGCGGCAAGACCGAGGTGAGCAGCGCACCTGTTGATGGCGGGGCAAGAGCTGTCACCCGTGTTCCTGCATACACAACAGCGGCATACACACGAGTGAATGAGTTTTTCCTTTAGCGTGGATTGTGTGACCGGATGGCACTCTTTGAGGAGCTCTATTTCTTGAAGATGAAAGAGGGGGAGGGGGTGGCTGCATACTCGGCGCGTGCCAAAGACTCGAAGTCCAAGTATTTGGCTGCAGGAGGGAAGGAGGAGGTTGAGGAGTGAATGATGAGGATACTCAAAGGAGTACCTCCTCTCTTTGAAATGCTGAAGGTGGTGCCGAACAACCAATCATTATTGCTCACTAAGGATCAACTGCTTACCTCTTTGAGGAGCGAGGAGATGCGGATTGGTGTCGCACCAAGATCGGATGGTGTAGCCACTTTTGGAGCAGGTACGAAAGTGGGCAGCAGCGGCAGGGGAAATTGGGACAAGGGAGTAAAGTATGGAGGCAGCGGTAGCAGCAGCGGCACTAACTCGGGCACATGGGGTCAGGGGAAAGGCAAAGCAGGAGTGCTTGATTTCCCTTGGGGGTCCAAAGGCATGGCTCCTAGGGGGTTTTGTCAGCATGCATGGCAGCGATGTCCTCACTGACCTAAGGGAGGAATTCCGGCATTCTTACAGCAGGGGGGTCGTGGGTCCAACGGCAAGGCACAGGTGGCGGATGAGCAGGAGCAGGATGACAAGGCAGAGGTAGTGGTCGGTGAGGGAGTTGCAGCAGTAGGATGGGAGCAGCCGCAAGAGGGGTGGTGGATTGACAGTGGAGCCAGCCACAACTTTACTCCTTATGCATCAAATTTTAGGAGTAAGCTTGAGCCACCTGAGGTTTGGGAGTTAGATTGGGAGATCGACGGGTGGTGAAAATGTTAGCATGGTTGAGGTGCTAGTGGTTGGTGCTGCAGGTCAGCTGCTGAGGATTCAAAAGGTCCACCTTCTGCCTGAGATGCAACCGCGCCTGCTGTCAGCCCCACGCCTCACATCTCGGGATGTCATTGTCACATTCGAGGGCAAGGGATGTGTTCTCAAACGGGGGGAGAGGGTGTTGGCGATTAGAGAAAAGGAGGGGGGAATGGACCATGGATTGGTGCGGATGTCTCTTCCTCTTGCTCGAGGCACAAAGGTTAGTGCTCTTGCAGCTGGATCCTCCTCCTGATTTTCTCCATTGACCCTTTCTCACCGTCGCCTTGGTCATACCGCCCCCACAACACTGCAACAGATTGGGGGAGGCTGCACTGATTGCTCTCCATGTGAGCCTTGCATATTGGGAAAGTCGGCTCGAAAGCTGTGTCCCAATGAGGCGTCTCGGGCACTTGGGCCTTTGGATGAGGTCCACATGGACTTGTAGGGGCCAGTGCGCACACCGTCACTGGGAGGAGCGGTGTATGTCCTCAGCCTCATTGACGAGTTCACCAAACGAGTTTGGTTGTTCCCACTTCCCAACAAGGAATCAGCCACAGTCGCAAAACTCCTTCGCCAGTGGCATAAGGACGTGGAGTTGGAGTGTGGGCGGAAGCTGAAGGCTGTTTGCTCGGACAGGGGTGGCGAGTTCTTGGGGGAAGCTATGAAAGCGTGGAAGGCTGAGTTTGGCATCAAATCTCAACTGAGCGTAGCAGATACACCGCAGCAAAATGGGGTGGTGGAGAGGTGGCACAGGACGATGGCCCCTCTGCCCGCTTGCTTGTGGGGTGAAGCATTGATGTGGGTCGTGTGGGTTAAGAACCGGGTCACCCACAGTGCTTTGCCCGCCTCCATCACCCCTGGCCAGAAGCCGCATGTGGGCATGGCTCGGATTTGGGGTTGTATGGGTAGTGTCATGTTTCATGGGCATGAGAAGGGTGTCAAGCTTGATGCATGTGCCGTCATGTGTGTGTGTGTTGAGGTGGACATGGAGAGCAAGGGTTGGCGCATGCTAGACCCTTCTCTCATGCACGTTCGCATTGCTCGGGATGTTGACTTTTCCGAGAATGCGATGTGGAAGGATTGGGACAAGGCCAACGGCTTTGGGGAGCTTCTGCAGGATGCAGCTGAGTTTTCCCAACTCCTCCCTCTTCCACTCTCGCTACCCTCAGCAGCGGTTGATAACGCTGATATGCCACTTTCATCACCACCACTGGCACCACTGAGTGTGTCGGTGCGGCTGCAGCCCGCCCCTCTGCAGCAGCTCAGCGGCCCCTCGGTCATTCAGCGAAGATCCGCTACCCAGGCTTCTTCCTCTTCCTCCTCCTCTGGCTACGAGTGCACCCACGTCACCCGCGACTACCTCCCACCGCCGGTTATGGGTTTGCAGGTGCTTGGTATCCAGTCTGGCACAGGTGGTGAGGAGGTAGGGGGGGATGCTGGTGTGGTGGATGGAATGATGTGCTTGGCCAAGGAGGTGGAGTGCGTTGCGCTAGCAGGTTTGAGCACCTGTGATGTCCCACGCACACTCGCTGAGGCACTACATGGCCCTGAGGGCCTTCCATGGAAGGCAGGCGCGGAGAAGGAGGTGAATGCCATGCGCATTATGGGTGTATGGGATCCAGAGCCGATCGACTTACCTCCAGGTAAGAAGGCCATTGGGGTCAAGTATGTTCTCCGCAGGAAGACTGACAAGGAGGATAAGGTGGTTCAGCACAAGGTTTGCCTTGCTGCGAAGGGGTTCACTCAGGAGCCTAAGAAGGATTTTGATCAGGTATTTGCCCCTGTGGGCAAGCTCACCTCAGGTCGGGTGCTTCTTGCAGAAGCCGCGGTAAGAGGGTGGCATGCACAACAGGAGGATGTTAATCATGCTTACCTCAATGCAGTCCTTCAGGAGGAGGTGTATGTGAGACAGCCTGTGGAATTTGATGATGGTACAGGTGGAGTGTATCGCTTGCGCAAAGCTCTCTATGGGCTCAAGTAAGTAGAGATTGGTACCACACTGATTGCAGCAGGGTTTCACCGCAGTGCATGCGACGAGGCTCCGTACATCAAGTTTGTGGATACAGAGCCTGTGTATGTATTGGTGATGTAGATGACCTCTTGCTTGTGTCTCCACGCTTGGAGCTGATTGGTCAGGTCAAAGAGATGCTTGCTCGAAGGTACCAGATAAAGGATCTAGGTTGGGTATCCACGTACCTTGGTGTGGAGGTTTGCAGGTCGGTCAAGGATGGGTGGTTGGAGATTGGCCAGGAGAAGAATGTGTGGTCTTCAGACCAGGTTTGTTGATCTGCTGAGAGAGACACATAGGGTGCATACTCCCATGTCACCCAATGATCTCTCTAAGATCAGGAAAGGTACTGATGTCAAGGTCTACCAGAGTCTCATTGGCGGCTTGATGTATGCTGCTGTGACTACCCGTTCTGACATGTCCTTTACTGTCAACACCCTTGCACAGTCCTGCGTGGCACCAAGGCACATTCACATGCGTGATGTACTGAGAGCACTCAGGTACTTGGTCGACACAGCTGATCGTGTCATCAGGTATGAGCGCCAAGGTGGTGAATAGGTTGTGGGGAACACTGACTCAGAGTGGGGTGGGGAGATTGATGGCAAGAGTCGCTCTGCCTACATCTTGAAGTTGGGAGGAGGAGCCATCAGCTGGTAAGGCAAAAGGCAGGACAGTGTTGCTTGCAGCACTGCTGAAGCTGGGTATAAGGCTCTATTGGAGGGGGCCAAGGAGGCCATTTGGTTGAGAAGTTTGTTGGTTGAGATGCATCTGGGCGATAGGGGGGCTAATCCATTATTATGTGATAATGAGTCTGCTTTCTTCCTTGCCCACAATCCTGTTCTCCATCAGCGCACCAAGCACATTAAGGTGGCTTGGCACTTTGTACGGGATGCGGTGCGCCAGCAGGAGGTCGAGGTGCACTCAGTATACTCCCACCTCCAGGATGTCGACATGCCCACCAAAGCTCTCCCAAGCTTGCAGCTGCATGAGAATCTTGAAAGCATCTGCATGCGAGTGAAGGCTTCATTCACTAGAGGGGTTGTGTTTTGATTGATGGGTGAACGTTTTTGCTTATTGGAGCAAGGGGGGGTGTTGGAATTATGGTTAAATCGGGTTGCTCCAATAAACATATATGTAGTGCTAGCTCTACATTATAGTTGTAGAATATATTGGCTGGGTTGGGAGAACTTGTGGTGTAGGAATGGACCACCTCCCAAACCCTATAGGTTAGGGTTCTCTCTTGCTGGAACTTACTTCTTGGAAACCCCTTTGGTTCTAGCATGGTTCATGCCCGAGTTGGCTCCTAAGATTTCTAGGCTTTAGCAGGAGGTTCTAGGACTACTATTGCTTCCGCTAGTAGCCTACACCATTCTAACATACAAGGCAGATGGCGAAAAGTCCGGCCAGGCCGACTTGGACATGTTGTTGGGCAGGCTCAAGGTCAACAAAAATGCCGAGCACCACCAGCAGGCACCAGTGGCGCTTGTGGCACCAGTTGCACCTATGGCGCTTGTCAACGGGAGTTGTGTGTAGGCCCCGTCCTCGCTTGGGCGGAGCCGACTTTGTGGTCGGGAGGAGAGCAGCCGACCTGCAGCAGTGGGCGAGCTGGTTGACGAGGAGGTCGACCTGCACGGGGACCACTGCACGGGCGCCGGCTTCTGGGTGGCGCCGACTTGGGTGCAGCCGACTTGGGTGGTCGGCTGACAGGACTGCTGGTCGACCTGGTGGTTGGTCGACCGGACCTGCTGGTCGACTTGGTGGCTGGTCGACCAGGTGTGATGTCGACCTGGTGGTCGACTGGACAAGGTGGTCGACGAAGGAGGGGCCGACGTCGACCTCGGGTAGCCGACTTGGGTGGTCGGCTGACAACTGCGCTGGTCGACATGGAGCTGGTCGACCAGGAGTGACGTCGACCTGGAGCTGGTCGACCAAGGGCATGGTCGACCTCGTGAGGTCGACTTGGGGTGGTCGTCGACTTGGGAGGTCGACGGGCACATACAGGAGCAGCTGGTCGATGTGGTTGCCCGGTCGACCAGGTTACCTGGGTGACGAGGTTCTGCGGAGGAGTGCGACGGTCGCCCAGGCGAAGTTGGCGAGTCCGACCTCGGTGGTGGTATCCCGAGGTCGATGTGGTTGATCAGATGCAGTCGTAAGCATGAGGTTGATTCTGTGTGTGCGCTGTGCATGTGACAAGGCATAGCACGCCAATCATCTGCGGGCACCTGCGAAGCAGGTGCGCTGCTGTTCTGCGACGTTGGCACGCCGTCGACTTGCAGTGTTGGCAAACCGCGACTTTGCACTGCTGGAACGCGGTCGACCAAGTCGTGCTGGAACGCGGTCGACCATGCTGCACTGGCAGTCGTCCAGCTTGCATGCTAGCTCTGATGTAGTCTTGTCTTGCCAACTTCATTGTACCATTGTTGTCAACTTTTCTCTAGTGAAACTCTTGCCAATTTGCCCCGTGAACTAGCAAGCAGTGTGTGCACTAGGAAAACGACTAAGGACCAACGAACGCAGAGATCACACGAGCACTCGTGCCTAGCCCGTAATCTAGCTCCCGTTGTAGTAGTTATCTCCGCATGGTGCGGTGAGCGTGGACGGCACACGACTTACCTTTAAGTCAGGTCGACGTAGTGGTCATTTACCTAAGTTGCTCGTAGGCCGGCAGCCGTACAGTCACTAACGTGCACGTAGGTGACGCTGAGGTGATGGACACCCTAGAGGGACGGCTGGAGGATGCGAGGAGACGCCATGAGGCCCAGGAGTACGGGGCGATAACCTGGGCGGTCGTCGAGGCTGGACTCCGCTCCATGTGGGCGACAGAGCATCCCCCTTCTCGACCAGCCTCTCCTCGACCAGTGACCAACGAAGGCGGCGTCGACGTGGGCGTCAAAGCCGGTGGTGGCCAAGTCGGCAGCAGTGCGGGAGGCACGTTGAGGCAGAGAGGTGTGATTCATGCCGATGAAGTCGGCGGCGTTCAGGCGCGAGGGGTGCGGTTGTCGGCGGCTGCAGGCTCCTCGCAGGGCGATGCCGGTGGTCGACGAAGCGGGTTGTCGCCGATGTCGGCGACCCAGGTGACGGCATGCGGGATTGCTCCGAGCTACGGTTACTTCAAGTTCACGCCGGACAGGATCCTGGTCACCCCACCGCTCACTGGTCGACCCGACATCCTCACCTGGAAGGAGGTCATCGAGCCCCAGCTGGAGATGGCCGGGCTGATCAGCTTTGCCCGAGGCACCGTGGCGACGCTGGACGACACCGACTTGCTTGCTGAGTTTCGCGCCGTGCAGCTGTTGACCTTCACGGTCATCTCGCGGTGCTGCTCGCCGGGCGTGCACATCGCCTTGAAGTGGTGCCGGGAGTACCTCGACGCCGGCCACCAGGCGTGGCACTTCATCGAGTCGACCTACCAAGTCACCGACGACTTGTTCATCGCCCAGCTGGAGGGACAGCTGACACATCTGCGTATGGGCGACGAGGAGACGGCGACCGACTACTGCAACCGGGCCCGGCGAATTCTCGCCACCATCAGGATGGCGGCGCGCAGTACTCGACGGCGTCGTACGTCACCCACGTCATGCAGGGACTCTCAAGCAGCAACAACCTGGTAAAGCGGCTGTCCATGGCACCGAGCACGAAGACGACGCTCAACGAGGACAACTTGACCTCGTACATTCTGCAGGACGATCGATGCAGGAGGCAGAGCGGTCCCAGGAGCTCTTGGCGCAGGCGAACTTCGTCGCCCCAGCAAAGCAAGGAGGTCGACCGGGGCCGCGCGGACAGTCTGGCGGCTGTGTAGCAGTGGCTGGAAGTCGGCCAAGGAGGTCGACAAGAAGAAGTCGACCAAGGACAGCGGTCGAGGAGGCGGAGGTCGACGTCGGGAGTGCTGGCTGTGCGGAGACCCCGACCACCTCTCCTTCGAGTGCCCCGACCGCAGTGACTCCGACGACGACGACGCCAAGGGAGGCCGCGGGAGGTCGGGCAGTCGTCGTCCTCGTCGAGGAGGAAACCAGCCGCGCAAGGAGAAGCAGTCGACCAAGACGTCGACTTCGGCGAAGGACGCCGACTCCTCTGCTGGCGGCAAGGGGCAGAACGACAAGACGGCGTCGTGCTCGCTAGTCGGCGTCATGGAGCCGACCGTCTCGCTGGCGCCGGAGGCCGGAGAGGACTTCCAGGTGGTGGCGGCAGCTGTGCAGGCGAACCCGGCGGTGGTACTGCTCGACAGCGGCTGCTCCCACCACCTGATGGGGACGAAGGAAGTCTTCGTCGACCTGCAGCCGAGTGGCCCCATCAAACACGTGCGCGGCTTCAATGGAGCGCTGCAGGACGTCCAGGGTCGTGACACCGTCGCCCTGCTGGGAGAGGTCGGGAAGCAAGTGCTCATCCCAGACGTGCTGTACGTCCCGGGTGTGCGGGCCAACCTGCTGACGTCCGGCCAGCTTAAGGAGCACGGCGTGAAGCTGCAGGAAGATGGCGACGGGATGCTGCTCGTCTTGGCAGCGGGCGAGGTGCTCGGTCGGGCGACGTACTCCGGGCGTGTCCTCTGCACCGAACTGCGTCCCTGCTCAACGAGGTCGACGTCGCCCACGACGGAGGTTGTGGCCCTGCGGGCGATCGTCTCGAAGACGAAGTCGACGCCGGACAGGATGCATGCGCGGCTTGCCCATGTCGGCATGGACACCATCAGGAGCTCGGCGAAGAACGAGGTCGTCATTGGGCTGGACCTCAAGTAGGCGACGGGCGCCGACTCACCGAGTGTCTCGTGCGTCGGCGGGAAGCTGGCGCGGCACACCTTCCCCGACCAAGGCTCTGACGCCGACGACGTGCTGGCCGTCGTGCACAACGACCTGTGCGGGCCGTTTCGCGTGGCTGCCAAGGATGGCAGCTTGTACATTCTGCTGCTGAAGGACCGCAAGACCCGCTTTGTATGGGTGAGGCCGGTTGCCAAGAAGTCGGACGTGCTGCTGGAGTTCTAGAAGTGGCTGGTGTTGGTGGAGAGGCAGACGACGAAGTCGGTGCTGATGCTTCGCTCCGAGCGAGGAGGGGAGTTCCTCGGGAAGCAATTCACCGACTTCGTGGACGGCAAGGGGATCGTCCATGACCTGACCTGCCCGTACAGCCCGCAGCAGAACGGCATGGCGGAGAGGGAGATGCAGACGGTAGTGGAGTCGGTGCGGACGATGCTGCTGCACATGGGAGTGCAGCACCACTGGTGGCACCTCGCCCTGCGGCAGGCTGTCTGGGTCCGCAACTGCCTTGAGCGGTCGACGCTGCTGCCGGGGACGACGCCGTACCAGCTGCTGACCGGGCAGAAGCCCGACTTGTCGATGGCGCGGGTGTGGGGCCGCATGGCGCAGTTCCTTGTCCCCGAGCAGCAGCGTGGTGGGAAGCTGAAGCCGAAGGCCAGGTGGGGCCTTCACCTTGGCGTGTCGGGGGAGAGCAAGGGCTGGGAGCTCCTCGACATCGACGCCAACCGGGTGGT